GTAGTACTGACCGGGCGGGCAGTAATCGGGCGTGCGGGGCAGCAGGTGGCACAGAGGGGGACGGCGCGGGGCGCGTGTAGGCCGGGGTGGGGGGGCGTGTGAGGGAGAGGGGTAGTACTGACCGGGCGGGCAGTGATCGGGCGTGCGGGGGCAGCAGGCGGCACAGAGGGGGGCGGCGCGGGGCGCGTGCAGGCCGGGGAGGGGGGCGCGCGCCGCGATGCAACGCGTGCACACGCAGCGCCCGCAGCCCCAGCAGTGGTGCTAAATCACACAATTCACAGCATATTAAACAAAAAAAAAATTTTTTTAATCAAAATGATAATTTTTGGCCCGCAAATCAAGGAGCCATGACGAGAAGCAGACGTGCAAGCCACCAGTCGACGCGATCTCATGGCGGAATGGCAGCAACGGCTGTCGCAACCGAAAGCTGGGCTCACTGCCGTTGAGACGCTACTGCGTCCTCACCTACGCGACTCACGCAGGTCCCCACCGGACATGGGATCTTCGGGAGGTACCTGTGTCTGATAGGGCGGGAGGAAACGCCCGAGTGTCATCACTGCGAGGACCGCCCTGAGGACACGGTGGAACACAGTAGGGGAATGCCCTGCGTGGGCTGAGCACCGCCGTGCCCTCAGGCCTCAGACACGTGATCGGCAACGGCGACCTCTCGCGTCCGGCCCTAGTGCGGGTCATGATGCGGAGCGAGGGGGACTGGAACGCCGTCTCTTCCTTTTGCGAAGCAGTCATGCTAGCTAAGGGGGAGGCGGGACGCGTGAGGCAGCGGAGCGCTGCCTCCTCGCAACCCAGCCATCGCGAAGGACACACCGGGCGTCGGGGATCGCGAGACGATCTCCGGCCACCGTAAGCGCGGGCCTGCGTACGGCGAGCATAGGTAGCTGGCCGCCCGATCAGAACCAGACCCGAGCGTACGGCGCGTCGCGTTCCGCGCGCGCCTCAAAGAGCCACAGACCACCACGAATGGAGCCCAATAGGGCTAATGCCGATACGAAGCCGCGGACAACTTAACGGGTTACCGGGGCTCCGGCTCCAACCGCAGGAGTAGGGACGGGGTGGTTTTTAGTCAGTAAGAGTCTGACACTCCCTTCCGCCTCACACAGGCAGGAGAAGTCATTCGATGATTTCCCCATAAAAAAAGCCACCAGTCGAGTTCAGTTCATACAGCGTCATATAAATATATTTCAGTGCAGGCTGCGCCGTGCGAGACACCCAGCGTGTCCGTAAACAAGGCCTTACTGTCATGTACAATGCTCAACTCCGACTTTTTATTCAGGATTCGAGAATTAGGCACGACACTAAACGTATGATATGGTTACCTTCCTGCTGAAGTGGTCTAGAGGAGTGGAACAGCTGCATTCGGTAACATTCTTGATACTCTTCCAGTCCAAAGCCACGGTGTTCACTTCCTGCTCTAACAACGCCAAGTTTGCTGGTATCGAGTCACTCGCCTTCTATGAACACAATTAATTTATTATTTTATTGCAACTCTCGTCTTTTGATATTTATGGATTTAAGATCGAAAGTATAATAACGGAATTCAATCCAAAATCGATTTTTGACATTTCTTGTATGGAGTTTACGTCAAGAAAAAATCGGTTTAATTTCGGTTTATACACGTAACTTGATCAGTCTCATGACTTATGACATGAGTTAGGAATAAATGGGTGCAATATGATGTGAAAGTGTTTGTAAACAACTTTGATAACACACATAACATAACATCACGTCTTTTATCCTCGAAGGGGTTGGCACAGGTGCATTTTACGACACTCAATGCTAACACAATCTAACACCCACTTTTCACTATTATTGTTATGAGTCCCATGTAATAGGCGGTAAGGCACATTTCCGGACTACGTGCTACTATAGAGAAAAATTTTTTTTTTGAAAACCCAATAATACTTTGCCCGACCCGGGAATCGAACCCGAGACCCCTTGCCCGGCAGTCGCAATTGCGACCACGTTGCAGGCAAACAGTTCATATAGATGGAAATATTTGTATCGTAGTTTACCTCAGTGATGAGAGGTATTTTATTAGGCTTGGTAGGGGCTGAGACCTCCTTCAGCGGGTGGTCATGGTTCGCGCACTCCAACTCCGATAGAGTGCCACCAGACTCGTATAGTAATCTGCAAACATTTAAAGAAATACAATAGGAATGATCGTATAAAAAATTAAAAATCTAATAAGTCCGTCATTTGGGTAATGAAAAAATATTAGACTCGTATTTTTTTATTTTGTCGTATAAGAAAACAATAATTAGATAAAACGAAACAAAGTTTAGTAGTATAAATCGTACTCAAAAGTGATGTCATGCGGTAAAGCCTAGTTTGAATTTTAACGAACTCACTTGTTGTCGATTTGTAGGGCTTCAGTCTTAGTTTCGATCTCTACTGAGTTTACGTTGCCATTCTGATAGTTGACAACAGTCGTATCCTTGTTTTTGTCCCCTTTTTTACCCGACAGCAAATTCTTGAATGTGGTAATTCTCTGAAACATGCATTAATTAAAATTACTAATGTCATAAATGCGAAAGGTCGTGAGTTTGTAACTAAATCACGCCACGGCTGATAGGCCGGCCCGACCGGGTGATATCACGGACTCACAGAAAACTGACGTGAAGCAACGCTTGCGTCGTGTTTCGTCATGTGAGGTTACCGGAGGCCTAATTACCCTCCCCCCCAATCTCTAATCCCTGAATCCCCAACAATCCTCAAACTCCTAATCCAAAAGGCCAATAATGCACTTGTAACGCCTCTGGTGTTCCGGGTGTCCATGGGCGGCGCGGATTGCTTACAATCAGGTGATCCGTCTGCTCGTTTACCGGCGTATCCCATAAAAATAAAAAAACAAGGAAATATAACGGTCCAGATTAACCCACAGGCTACTTCTTAGCACACGGGAACGCGGGCGAAATACAAGCTCAGTGTAAGTGTATATATGTAAAATACTATTAAATAAAAAAAAAATATTGAACATTTTAATCGCAGTGTATGTTGGTGTGTGTGTGTGTGAGTGTCAGAGTGTTTTTTTTTTTTCTATACAAAGGTGGGAAATACTTTTACGTATTCTACAAGCTTAGTTCTTTTGCTTGGATATGTGTGAGTGTCAGAGTGTGTGTGTGTGTGTGTGTGTGTGTGTGTGTGTGTGTGCGTGTGTGCGTGTGTGAGTGACAGAGTGTATGTGTGTGTGAGAGAGGGTGTGTGTGTGTGTGAGAGAGGGTGTGTGTGTGAGTGTGTGTGTCAGTGAGTGAGTGAGTGAGTGAGTGAGTGTGTGTGTGAGTGTGTGTGTGTGTGTCAGTGAGTGAGTGTGTGTGAGAGCGTGTGTGTGTGAGGGTGTGCGTGTGTGTGTGTGAGGGTGTGTCTGTATGTGTGTGTTTGTGTGTGTGAGGGTGAGTGTGTGTGTGGGTGTGAGAATGTGTGCATGTGCGTGAGAGAATATGTGTGTGCGTGAGAGAGTCTGTGTGTGTGTGTGTTTTTTTTTTCCCCTATATAAAGGGGGTAAATACTTTTACGTATTCTACAAGCTTAGTTCTTTTGCTTGGATATGTCGGACTCAAACATTGACTGGTGACATGTCAATGCTAATACCGACTAAAACCTTCCCTTTTTTTTCTCTAGTCTCTGATCCCTCACGGAAACCGCCGCAAGGCATTACTTCGTGAGGGGAGAATCTTCGATCAACAATAACAACTAGATAAAGGGTTACGTACAAAATCAAGCTCCAGTTCTGTCCGTGTGAATAATAATAGTAAAAAAAATAACAAACAGAGAAAAATGTTTTAAAATAATTTTAAGTTCAACCTAATAACAACCATGGCACCTAATGATATACTCATAAATCGTCAACATATTATCTAATACTTACGACCATTCGTCACATAAGACAAGAAAAGTATTTTCTTACTCCTGTCATGTAGAAATTAAAAGACATAAGTTTTACAATATCTAGATTGAATTCAACCTTAAGCTCGAACAAATAAAGATAATTTTTCCATTATTGTCTTGCGATCTATATCGTTTTGTTTTGTTTCGTTTTGCTTCTTCAAATTTCGAATTTCGCTACAGGAGGTATGTATGGAGTCGCGTTGGACACTAAAATAATTTTATAATATGAAAATTAATATTTCGGGATCTTAGTATACATCACTAATTTTTATTATCGGTACGTTTTTGTGTAGGTATGATATGTTTATTTACTTTATCATTAAAAGTCTAAGTCTAAGTCAAAATCATTTATTTCAGTTACACCAGGAAGGCACTTTTGAACGTCAACAATATAAATTTAAAAGTGAAGCTATTTGCTCATTCCAAGGTGTAGATTCCTATGGAGAAGAACGAGCAAGAACCAATACAATTTTATTTTTCAATACAAATCAACTCCATGTATCCACTGTTCTGTTTAAACAAATGTTGGCGAGGCTTGGCCAAGGAATCGCCAACACACGCACAAACATTGGTGGCGTTGGTTTATAATTGATAATTTTGTCTAATTTGATATTATTTACTAGTTTAAAAGCTTAAAATATAACTTATACTTTATGTAATTATCAAAAGTAAGACACTCCGGCCGTTATACTGCTTTTTCGGTTGTTATTTTTGCAACTTGCAATTACGCACTGCGGCATCGTGAGACGTGAGTACGTTGGCCGTGTTTGGAGCATACTAAACAAAATAAGAGCTCACTTCTCAAGTGAGCTCTTATTTGTCGAGACGATTTTCTTGCGCCGACCCGATATCTAGTTGTTATTGTTGATCGAAGGGGAGAATTTAGCTACTGCTCTTCCTTCTGATGGCTAGGTATTATTTTTCCATGTCTTCTAATTACTAGCATTCGCTCTTCTTCTTTCAATGGATCGCAAGTCTGTGAGTACTTCTGTGGCAAAGGTGTTGACAGCGTTCCAGGCCGCTCCTGATGACAACATTGCTTCTACTATTGATTCAGGTTCCAATTTCTTGTTCATGATCATCTCTAGTTTATCTCGCTGAGGGTGGAATCGGGAACACAAAGAATACGTGCTCGGCGTCCTCAGTAACTCCTGGGCAAGATGCCCATCTTGCCCAGGAGTTACTGAGTTACTCCGAAGAACTATCATGCCTAAAGCGATGAAGATACGCCCGAAAACAGCCGTGTCCAGATAACATCTGTGTAAGATAGTAGTTGACCTCACCATGACTACGTTTCAGCCAGGAATCAATTCTTGGAGTAAGACGGTGCGTCCATCTACCCTTCTCTGCGGTATCCCACTGTAGCTGCCACCGGCTTATGCTGTTCTGCCGTTCTTCTACTCGGAGTTCCTCAGGGCTCAGGGTTATTGACTTTCTTCGTTGGTGAAGGGCCGGGCTTTCCTCAGCTAAGACTCCAAGGGGCAGCATTCCTGAAATAACGCACACTGCTTCCTCTGATATAGTGCGGAAGGCGCTGGCTACTCTTGGGGCACTTAATCGATATACTGGTCCCGCCTTTCTCCATGACTCCTGGAGCTGCAATGCGTCGGCCCAAATAGATATGCCGTAAGTGAGCACTGATGTGACTACAGATGATAGTAGTAGCCTTCTGCTCTGCTTCGGGCCTCCGACATTTGGCATCAGCCGTGCTAGTCTAGCTCTTACCACAGACGCTTTAGCGGTCACGTGTTCCACCTGCTGCTTGAAGTTGAGTCGGGCATCAAGCATCACTCCCAAATATCGGATATAAGGTTGTGACATGATTTCTTGTTCTCCGACTCTTAACTTGATGGTTTTTACCGTCTTTCTTCTTGTGATGAGCACTGCCTCGGTTTTATGCTTGCTTCATCGTATCCATCCACAAATTGACTTGTCTGAATGAGAGAGTCACACAGAGTCTGTGTGTGTGTGTGTGTGTGTGTGTGTGTGTGTGTGTGTGTGTGTGTGTGTGTGTGTGTGTGTGTGTGTACCTTGGTGAGGTAGTTGATGTGCAGGTGTAGCGCGGAGGTATGGTCCACGGCGGCAGGGAGGAGGTCTGCCAGCGCCTCCCTGGGGTGGACGCCACTCTCGTGTCGGCAGTACATGCCACGCCAGAACCTGCAAAAGGTAACCATGTCAATAAGATTAAGAACTACCGATTTTCTGCCCATTTGATAGTGCCAATGTAGTGTGGGGTTCCTGTTTGTACAATCACGATTATGTGGTAAACTGAATCTTTCACTCATCAGAATAAAAAAAATATCTGCTTCATTAGCATGATGTATTGCACGTAGGTACATACCAGAGATGTAATGGATATGAAATTTCGAATACGGATTGGATATGGATTGGATACGGATTGGACACAGATTGGATACGGATATAGAAATGATGTTATACTGGATACGGTTACGGATACGGATATGAAATTATTTCGGATTATCCGTTAGTTTCGGATAGTTTCGGTTCGGGAAAGTTCGAAAGTAAAATACAAATGGCTAATATAATGGTTTCATTTATACGTCAAGTCCCTATCCGATAATATCAGAAACTTTTATTTCGGATTCGGTTACGGAGCTACCTAACATCCTTGATACATATACATCAAGCTATAAAAAACCAGTTTATCTTGGCCTCGCTTTGTATCATCCTTCCGCGCATTCGACGTTCAGTTTATGCTGATTTTTCCGTGTGTACGAGTGGCACAAAGACACTAAGATTAATTCTTTTAAAGTTGGTGTAATAGAAAATGTACCTTATGCTCTGTGCACTTAAGTCTGGTTTCAGTACATCAGGGTGAGACTTGGGGTTGTACAACGGATTCTTGTACTCGTTCAAATGACTCGCCATGTAGCCCCATAGAGAGAATGTACGTTCTGATAACCTGCAAAAAACTTCAAATCTATAATTATTCACTAAAAATCGCGGGTTACTCACGTGAATATATTGAGAAAAGCTCTACTAGTTTTGAACCAAAGGTGGGTTCTTCTAGCGTTGGCACTTGCATCGGTGTTATTACTTGCGCTGGGCCAACGCTAGCCAGTAAGCTGCGCGACGTCGCCGAGACCGCGCACGCTGCTCATGAGGAAGAACCCTTCTCTGGTTCGAAACTAGTAGAGCTTTACTCTATACATTCACGTGAGTAACCTGCGATTTTTAGTAAATTTAGTATGTCTCAAGATAGTTACTACCATAATTATTATTTAACTTTATCTTGTATCTTATACTTATTATATAAAGCTGAAGAGACTTTTTGCGTGTTTGTACGCGTTAATCACAGAAACTATTGCTCCGATTTGAAAAAATATTTTTGGGTTGGATAGCCAATTTATCGAGAAGGGCTATTTAGGCTATCATCACGCAACGATATATAGGAATCGAACACAGCGCGGTGAAGCCGCGCGGGAGTGTAGAAATTTATAATGGAAAGCTTCAGTATTATTGAATTTAATTAAGAATTGCCGCTTTAGTAGAGTGCGACAAGTCACAAGTGGGACTAAGTAAGAAGTCTCGGGTTCGATTCCTGGGTCAGGTAAATTATTATTAAGTGTTTAAATATTATTCACACAGCTGCATATCAAGATATACAAAAACAATTTATCATCATGGTCTCGTTTTGTATCTCTGTCCGGACGATAGGGATGACAAACAATAGGGATATCGGTCCGAACAATAGGGATGATGACAGGGTATGAAAATTAAAAATCTAATTAGTCCGTCAGTTAGGTAATGAAAAAATATTAGACACGTATTTCTTTATTTTCTTGTATAATAAAACGATACTTAGATAAAACGAATCAAAGTTTAGGAGTGGGGGCTAAAACGTCATTTCTACGTATAAAATGGACATAGATGTGACGTCACGCGACATTTCAAATCAATATATCGTCGAAAGTATTCGTTTCTGTAAAAAAATAAAAGATACGTATCTAATGTTTTAAAATAATCTACCAGACGGACATTAAACTAAAAATTAGTCATCTACCCTATTTTATGGCAATTTTATACTGGTTATACATATCCTGATATGTATTGTACTCATCATACCGTAAGTCCCGCCTATCTTTCTCGCAGTTCCCTATAAAGGTCCCATATTGGCACGCATGCGCGTGATCGTGCAACGTCAGGAGAAACCTCTCGTTGAACTGGAACGCCTGAAAATAATACACAAATATTCAAAAACACTGTTATTAGGCAGTGTTACATGTATCATAAATAGCTTAATAAGTAATGGCCCCCTCACTATAATGTATTATATAAGGTAGGACACTTGTCAAGAATGACGCTGTCTACCTGGCATAAGGTGTTGTATGTACACGTCGTGTGCTCTGCACATTATATTAATAAATTGAAGAAAAACCAATCAGAGTATAATTTAACAATCCACCAACATAACAGGCAGGTATGTAATCAGCTTCGCTCATAACACCAAGAATACCAAAGGAAAGTAGTACGTTGTAAGTACAAGTGGGTGACTGGCCTTTTGGGAGTTAAGTATTTGCGGTATAAAGATTGGATGTAGAGATTAAAGGAATTGGGCCTCTTAGTACGAGAGATGACGACCAAAACCATGTCTCATAGCAATACGGCAAAAACCCTATAAAATCGTTAGATTGTATGATTCTGAACCCGACTAAGTGTATAGTAACGGTCGAAAGTGTAGCAACTGCGTGGGAGGCCATTTGTGCTGTGTCAAAAATATCTGAGTATCGAAAAGTTGTCTGATAGAGAAGGCTACACTAATTTGGCTGATATACATTTTTTGCACATGTGGACAACTTATTTTATCATGTCCAACAATTTTCAGACATATTGCCATGATACCGATCGGTAAAATTTGTTAACATTTTCAAAACGGTCTCAAAATTTAATGCGTCCCGTCTGAAAATTGTTCTGTTCGCATCAAATAATAACCAAAATTTACTAATAAATAAGGTTTTCAGACGTATTGCTATGAGACATTTTTTTTTGGCTGGTGTTTTTGTGGTCAGATCAAACGCTACGCGTTATTATATTAAAATGTCTGATATTGGTATTTTCGAGTTCAGGATAATCGTATCTATCGATTTGAGGCGGTTTTGGCCGTATTGCTATGAGACAAAAATTTTGGTCGTCATCTCTCTATCTGGTAACCTCAGTGACACGACTGCACATATCGCAAGCGTTGTTGTAGCAGACGGAAAGAACGAAAACAAAACCTTATTTTTATTTTACACACTAAAAACAAGTGACATGAACAGATTATAATGATAGTTTATAAATAGTTTATGAATACTGTACATGTTCATGTTCCAAGAAGGCAGTGAAATTGGACCAGTTCAGTATGTGCAACACAGGGCTTCGCGCTGGTATTCTACTGGCCCCTTAAGTGACTCGTGGATGAACAAGCCACCAATTAGACATCAATTAGCAATAGACAGATCATCTGATGGTGAGCAATCGATGCAATCAGAGTCTATAAGTGCGTTGCCAGCATTTTGGAGGGTCAGAGATTTGGGAATTGAGGATAAGAGAAATAGGGGGAGGATTGGGGATTGAGCCGCGGAAGACTTAACGGGACTTAACTGACTATGTTGTTGGTTGTTTTTAGTCAGTAAGTGTCTGACACTACCTGTCGCCTCACTCGGGCGGGAGAAGTCATTGGATGATTTTCCCCCCTCAAAAAATGGGATTCGGTGGCGATAAATCAATCTAGTTAGGTTTCATTTTCAGAGGGGGAGGATTGGGGATAGGTGGTGGATTAAGGGTCCGGAAACCTCTACAAGATCGGTTTTCTATTAAGTCATAAAGTTTTCTAACCTCAGGTCTCTGTCGCAATAGTTGCCAGGTACAGTCGAGTAGTTGCGTGAACACTGGCGACCTCTCGCGACCGTCGCACGCAATGTGCCCGCACCGGGCTGTGAACTTGTGACCGAATGATAGCCAGTCCTTCTCTATTAGCGCCTGTAAAGTAAACTTGTTAGTGTTAATGTGTTTGCGCGCAGATCAGGGTAAAAATAAAATCCTCACTAGTGAGCCGCTACCCATTGATGATGATGATACCCATGAAGGTGGAAAATTGCCACTAGGAAAAAGTTGATTGAATAAACAGCAGTTCTGGCGACAGATTGGTGCTATCTCATCTCTACGTCCCCGGCTGGGGGCGCAAGGATGCACGATCCAGGCTGATGCCTGTCTCCTTCGCTGCCTGCTACAGCAGGCGAGGGGTTGGATTAGTCGGGCTCCTCGCGGGGCCCGATGTGGTTTTTTTTGGTGCGATGGTGTCTTGCACCTGGTTTTATACCTTTGTGTACCCTTTAACGGCCAAATCACATAACATTAACCATAATAATTAAGAAATTGCAGCAAGGAACCTTAGACTTGGCACGACTCTGTCTAGATTTCATTACTAGAAATGAACAAGCGGCTCCATCTAGACTTTGGCTTGGTTGTTTTGGTTGGGTTAGCCATTATTATTATCTGACTTGAAAAAAGGAGGAGGCGGAAGTTGCTGTTAAACGTAGTATGAGTTTACATTACAGAGTGGGAGTCGATTAGCAAAGGTAAGTAAATGAGTATGACCTGGTATCCGTTGATGGTCCGGTAGTGCGGGTCGAGACAGAGCGCGGCGAGCGAGCACACCTGCGCCGTGCGGTCCCAGCCGTCGCTGCAGTGCACGCACACACTCACGCCGGCCTCCAGCGCGCCCGCCATCCACCACGACGTGTCCAGGATAGACCTGGCACACACCATCATCAATCAACTATGTACACTCACGCCGGCCTCCAGCGCGCCCGCCATCCACCACGACGTGTCCAGGATAGACCTGGCACACACGACGTGTCGATTTTCCACTTTACTTAAGCCTACGTTTGATTGGAAGATAACGCTATATGGTATAAAATCTGCCTTATATACCTATATTTTTTGTGTACATTAAATGACGTAATATAATCCATAGGAGTCCACTGTCATAGCGTGTTGAAAAAAAAATGCTAACTTCCCACACGTTTACAAATTCACATACACACACCTAAACCGGGAACAATAATTTGTGAATCGCATAAAGAGTTGTTCCATACGAGAATATTGTATCAACCGTTCAGTCAAAACACACCCATGAAATAGAATATCCTAGTGTAGTGCAACATCTATAAGAAAAACAAAATAAGGCAATAATGAAGTGACTTACTTGATGTGTTTCAACCACCCGGAGGACTCCAACCCGCTGAGGAAGGAGGACATTGTAGGCGTGTTTTGTTCACAAGCTGCAAATAAAAATAATAAGGAAATAACTTTCAAATCTTTAAACAATTTACGGTTTCTATATTATAGAAAAATGTTCACCATGAAAGTTAAATCCAATTGCAGTAAGTTTTGAGTCTAGGATTTGGTGTTCGTAAAGAATTATCAAAACCGAAAAGTATTATTATTGAATATTTTTCTTAACTCGGGGATGAATTCGTTATTCATGTGGTCATAGCTAGATAGTTAATTTAACGGCTGAAATTGATTTACGAATATTTATTTATCTTTATAATCTGAATTAAGGTCATTTTTGACGTCAGTGCCATTGAATTTTTCTCAAAAACCAGATATTTTGGATAAAAACGGAATTTCCAAGTTCAAATAGTTTAAGATATAAAAGTGGCACACAGGGATACTTACTCTCGACCAGTTTCTGTAGACTCTTCCTCATCACGTGGATATTGCCGATGCCCATGAACTGAAACTTGATGTTCTCATAGAAAGCTTCGTTCTCATAACCCTTGCCAGCTGCTCGGTTCACCATCGCATTGATCTGGAAAAAATAATCATCATTACGATCAACAGTCATATATGATTGATGTCAATAACATCAATCAAATTCTACTATTATATTTCTACTAAACTATACTTTATTTGAAAGTTAATAAACTATTATAGCTAAATCGTACCCTTGGCCTAGTATCCACCACGTACATATAGCCGCAGTTTGGGTTCGCCCGCCTAATCAGATCCAACATCTGTTCGTCCTCCATGCATCTGAAATATAAACAAAAAAATCTTTAAAAAGCTCTTGACTTTGACTTTTTATCATTATTGTGACTTTCAATAACTATATAGACGGCAGCACATCAAGCTACCCTTAAATCTTAAATATCTTTAAAGTAACACTTAACCTCGAATGGCGAACAAGTTATTTAATAATGTCTTATGTCTGCCTACCCCTATGGGACGTCGCGGACAACATAACGGGTAACCGGGGCGCCGGCTCGACGTACAGGAGAAGGAACGGGGTGATTTTTAGTCAGTAAGAGTCTGACACTCCCTCCCGCCTCACCCAGGCGGGAGCAGTCATTCGATGATTTTCCCTCCTTAAAAAAAACTCTATGGGACAAAAACGGATTTTAACCGACTTCCCAAAAAGGAGGAGGTTATCAATTCGGCTGTATGTTTTTTATAATGTTATATTTGTCAACAAACGAGTAGACGGTATCTGACGGTAAGCAACTGGCGCTAACCATGAACAGCGGCAACAACAGACAAGTTACAAGGGCGTTACGTTCTTTAACGTTACAGCCTGCGTGAGCGATCTAGAAGTGAATGTGAAGCAGTGTGCGGCGGCGCGAAAACAACAAACTGTTGATATCTATTGAAGTGTCCTACGTGACAAACCGACCGTGGGAGACGGTGCGGAGCGGCGCGAAATGACGCAGACGCGATCAGTTGGTTTGATATTTTCGCGCCAACTGTCACATTTGTATGCGGTGCTGTCATGTTGTAAGAGTTGAAATAAATAAATAAATGTTTTTGATTGGATATTTTTTATTTTTTTTATATGTTTAATGTGGCGACGTTTGACCACTATTTCACCTGGTGGTTAGCGATGATACGGTCTACGAATGAGCACGTCGTCCCGTAAGCAACCTATTCACTCGGGCCTTAAAGACTCCTAGGTTATATACCCTTCAGGAAATACAGACTCTGGCAAAGAATTCCACTCTTTAGCAGTACGCACAAGGAAGCTTGAAATGAATCGGTGACGCTTCGTCGATTGTCTTATGGTACGATGATGGAAAGGACTAGGGGGAATCAAGTTGTGCAATTCCCCGGCACACTCACCGAAATGTGTCCGGTAGAAAACCGAAAGGCTTGCAACCTTACACCTGTGTTCGAGGCTTTTAAGCCGAGCCTTCACAAGCGCATCATCGTCGATGAGCCTCTTGATATAATTCGCATGCACGTAGGACATAGCGTCGCACCGTATCGCTTTGAATTCGCGTGTTACCGCTTCGCAATCGCGTTCGCTTCTAGATCGCCCACACAGGACGTAGCGTTAGGGATTGTGGATTTGAGAATGATTAGGATTAACTTCATTCACATGGCGAAACACAACGCGAGTTGTTGTGCGCTGGTATTGGCCCATAAGAGCCGAAATATGGCTCTTCCAAAGTGGGCTCTTTCCAACCAATAAAAGGAAACTGACCTGGCAGAAAATCCGCTGAGAGGCTGACTACAGCGTGCTATTGCGGCTTTATTGTGATGGAGGTATGCGAGCACGGGCAGTCGACCGCGCGATCTGAAGCTAGCACTGCCGAGCAGGACCGCCGTGGACGCGCGAGCTGGCACGTACACCTCACTCGGGTATGTGTCACACAGCTAGAATGGTAAGATGAGAATCAAACGTAAATAATCAAGCCTTAGAAATAAAAAAATTAAAGTAAAAATAATACTATACTTATTCATTAGGGCCGAGGCTCACTCTGTCACTCTGAGAATTTCCGAAAAACTAAATACACTTTATCCAACCCGGAAATCGAACCCGAGACCATTAGACTCACGAGGCAATTTAATTTTTATTCTGCCCCAATATATAGTATGCCCCATATTCTAGGATATAAACCTTAAACTTATTATTTATTGGTCCTGTGGCTTACCTCATAGTCTTTGTTGGCGGTGCAGAGAACCCACTGGTCGTTAGGAACGTTCATCCTCTGGTATTCTGTCTGAATATCGAAGAAGTTCCATCCAGCCGACTTAGGCAGGTCGTCTGGCGTCGATTTATAGAAGAAGCAGTACAACTCATCGATGTGTACTGAAAGAAATTAGTTTTAAGTGAAACATATATTAAAAGCAATAACAATACTTGATCCACTATTATTAGACGGATCACATAATGGTAAACAAACAGCGCCGCCCATGGACACTCGCAACACCAGGCGAGTCCCCCATCTAATCTCACTCATCGGAAAATTATGTACTATAGTCGTAAATTTATTAGTAGGTGTTCGAACGCACCTGGTTGGCTGAGCCTTAGGAGAGTCTGATGCATCTCATGGCAGTCTCTCTCGCGAGGTATCACGAAGAAGACGGATTGGAATGTCTTTGTTCTCACCAGGAGCGGAGACCCGGTCGTTGTGATCGGCAACCTTTCCACTGACGATATGTGCATCAGTAGAATCTGGTGAAAATATTTAACTCTTACATAACATTGTTAGCATATATTCAATATAATTCTACATTATACAACACTCGTGGTCGATCCAGTTACGTACTTTAAGGGCTCCGGTTGGGCTCAAAACTAGTCAAGCATCACTATAAAACATTGGTACACGCGATAAACATTATTTCCTTTAAGCAAATAATGACTATCACTTGTATAGTGTCCCATGTTTTGTCTATACGTTCAGTTACCTATGGCTTTAGAAATAAAATGGTTATAATGAACTAGCGATCCGCCCTGGCTTCGCACGGGTGCAATATGCATGTATTATACATATAAAACTTCCTTAAGAACCACTCTATCTATTAAAAACAACCGCATCAAAATCCATTGCGTAATTTTAATGATCTAAGCATACATAGGGACAGACAGACAGCGAATAGCGACTTCGTTTTATACTATGTAGTGATTTATCTGAAGATACATTTTGGAATATCTGTCATGTTAAGACAATTTTGAGTAAACGGTTCATAACTATTTGAATAGCGTCTTCAATCAAGTGAAAAGCTTAGAATTCATTGCCTTAATGAACATTTCAACTATTCACAAACTAGACAGGTTACAAATGCTTGAATTATTAATGAAATAACAAATCAACTGGATTGAACGAAATGTCAGTAAGGTTCATTTTGGATTTTGGATTATTAATCAAGTATAACGTTATGCTTGTGGAAAGGGTAAGTAAATTGTGCTAAATGGACTGAAAAAACGTTTATTGTTGTAGTAATAAATTCGCCTTTATTGTTGGGTCCGTACAACATTCTTCTTGCAAAACGTATCAAAGTGACATGGCTGCACTATGATCGTCGCAACGTGTGTCGCGCAATGCTGCTAGTGAATATGAGCCCCTAGCGTAGCTTGAAACGGGTCGAGCTCCCTCACCAACACCTAGATATTCTGATACTGTCAATTAGAACTTGCGAAGTGAGCTCAATCGCATTCTCGCCAGCTATTCGAGATTATTGTTACAACTAACCGCGCGATCGAGTTTATCTTTTGATCTTCCGAATTGCAAGTTACAGAAGCTTAGTTACGTGAGTAAGCCGTAAAACTTATAATTAAGAGATAAGCCTCATGGCCAAGCACGAGTAACTATCACATTCGTAATATAATAGTATCTAGCGCGTTCGGCGTTTTGATTGGTCGGTTCAAGTGAACCAGCCAATCAGGGTATTACGTTACGAACGCGATATTTGTTCGTGCTTGGCACTCCAGGCCATTAGCTGTTGATGTTAGTGTTTATGTAGGTACATACCCAAGTCTCCTTCCTCATCTCATGGTCGACGAATATGAGGTGTGTGGTCGCAAAGTACAGGGTCCCCTTCGACGGGTTCCGTAAGTTATACTTGTCCAAAAGCTGCACATTCTCCAACTGTAACAAATAAATTATGTACTTTAGACTATGACAAACAACTTTTCTGTAATTCTATGTATATCTGTTTGACAGGTATGTATGTAGGTATGTTTGTGTGCTATTGTCTCGTATTTGGCTGAACTGATTTTGATGCGATATTCAGAAAAGTGTTTGTTACACTAGGACAAGTTTTTTGGTGAGTTACACTAGTAGAAGGGTTGCAGTCGGTTTTGAACGTAGTTTATAAAAACTATAATTAATGCGGACATAAAAGAGGTAGGTAAATGATGTAATTTTACTATTACTTTATAATATATTTGACTGCACGGTTGGTGCGGTGACCTGGGTGGCTGGGCTGCTGTGCAACGTGTCGCGGTTTCGATCCCCGTACGGAACAACACTTTGTGTGATCCACAAATTGTTGTTTCGGGTCTGGATGTCGTTGTGTATGTGAACTTGTATGTTTGTAAACGCACCCACGACACAGGACGATATCCTAGTGTGGAGCAACGTTTTTTTTAAATAAAATAATAAAACGAACATATAGTATTGTGTTTTATTTAAATGTCTGTGTTTCCAAATAACATTGTAAAACTGTAATTTTTGTAAATTTTGTAATTTGCATGCCTCAAGGCGTAATATGGTCGGAACTGTATCTACTTATCTGCTAACAACTTAATTTACCCATATTAGCAAATAAATGATTTGATTTGATAAACACTGTAATCACGTTGAAACGTAGTAAAATGTATGTGATACTTAAGCTGCCCAGTGAAAACTAAGAGAGACGTAAAGATCTTTTATTTGTATAAGTTGAGGGTTATATATATACAGTATGCGTCGACGATGTCCTTTTATTTATTCATGACGCATGTTCTGAAAACCCTTTTCAACATCTGACAATAATAAAATGTTACAACATAAAATATGTTTTATTTAAATATGTATTTAAATGTTGATGCGGTGGCTGGGCAACCGGCTGCCGCGCAACGTGTAGCGGGTTCGTTTCCCTCACGGACTAACTCTTTTTGTGATCCACGGATTGTAGTTCCTGGTCTGCATGTCATGTGTATGTGAACTTGTATACGCACCCACGCCACAGGAGAAAATCCTAGTGTGAAGCAGTTTTAACGGTGATTTTTTATCCGTGGACATTGGATGTGTCTTCAGTATTTGACTGTAAGCTTAGTAATAGAACATAACATAACACCACGCCTTTTTATCCCCGAAAAGGTAGGCAGAGATGCACATTATGGCACTAAATACCATTGTAAAAT